TCCGACCAAACGGAGCTGCTTTAAACACACTCACAGCCAGACAACGGGGTGCAAACCTGTGAAGCCTACTACTTCACAGCTACTATTCTGAGCCTGGTTTCGAGCTGTAATGAACCAGTGCTTTGGGACAACCATGTTCATGCAGTTACACAGCAATGAAGGTGATTTAAGGCATTTTGGATCAAGGGGGAGGTAATAGAAAAGGTTCGTAAATCAGCGGCAGGCTCCTAAAAGCACGAGGAGTCCAGCGGGAGATGATCAGCAGGATGGAGTGCCGGATTTAATCTTGAGTTGTGATGCTAGAATAACAAATTATATTTTGAAAATGGAAACCAGGCCTTTGTGAAGTGTGAGTCAGACCTGAGAATGGCGGAAGCCGAGCTAACGAGACAACAGGAAACCCGTTCGGAAGGTGGAGTGAGCTTCAATCAGTCGTCTGCTTTCTTTACTTCTTTGTTGTTTTCTGTCCGACCGCCTCCTGTCTTTCCTTTCCTTTAACTCTGTCCGTCTTCATCTGCCATCTGCGCTCCCGCCGTAACCAGAGATCCTCCACGTCCACCAGATCTCCTCCGACACCTGCTCGCATCTTCAACCAAAGACAAGTTTATGTCTTTTCACAGTTTTATTGTGCAGCCAGATGTTCAGGTCGTGCGGGGCGATAAAACCACTCGGGTTATCTTTTCGGTGCTTATTTATGATCCTGCTGAGGGAAACTCCACCCACCTGGAACTCCAGGCTGCTTTGTTTAAATACACTTTAGAGCTCAATGATCACATATAAGTTTTTGTCACAACATTAGCAAAGATCAATATGAGAAACATGTAAAAAATGACTATAAACTATGCAGTCACAGTAACTAGAATGATTTTAATCTGTGTGCAGATTTAAATCATTACAAGCCACATATTCAACCTCATCTGCTTTCTTGTTTGCTGGAGGTTCAGTTATCGTTACAGCTTTTTGTGTGCCGATTCTATTTCATTGGCAAATTTCATTCAGTCACCAGCTGGGTGTGGAGAAAACGTCTTAGTAATGCTCACACCTGCAATTTAATCTGAGGTAAAGAATGGAATTATTGTGCTGTTCCCTCTGCAAACCCATTTTTATCATTCTCACTGGTTTATTTCAAAAGTATCGGAGGCTGTAATCTCAATGAAAACACACACATTAAAGACACCTGGCCCCACCATCTACAGCATAACGAGACGGCGTGCGACCTGCAGAGCCGTGCAGAGTACAGTCTGTTCCACCAGCTCCAGATTGAAACCGACGACGTCTGAGCAGTGCGTGGAGTGTTGCAGCAAACGAGAGCTGTCAATCACAGCCGCTGCACAGCTGCCACAGCGTCGATGAAACGAAGGAAAGCGTTACGAGGCAGTCTGATGAAAAGTTTGCATCTTCGTGGGGAGGAAGAGTCAGCTTTGAGTTCATAAGTCAGATGTTTAAAGAGGATTTTATAAGATGAGGGATTGAAGGATTTGATAATAATCTACATAAAAACTGAGACATGACCAGTGAGATTGAGCCGGTGAGAGAACAACAAACCGGGCTTCTTACGACTCCGTTTGGAAAGAGTGGTGTATTTAGAATTAAAATATAATTAAGTGCTGCTGCAGTAGCCTCTGTAATCTTCTATATTGCTCTTATTGTAAAGAAACTCCAACTTCCTGTCTGTGGCTCTCAGCACCAAAATGATTGGTGAGAAACACAAGACTTTGCTTCTCAGCAAGTGTTACACAAATCTGAGTAAATAATGCATCTGCTGGGGACTATTTTCAGCTGAGGAGTAATACATATTTGCTGTATTGTATATAAAGGCGGGAATGAAAGCAGATGTCACCAAATACAATAACGTGGCTCGTTCATGTGTTTTTAACAGTCAAGCTTTAGCTGTACAGACTAACGTTGGGCTGAACTACAGGAGTTTAGTTCTCCAAACAATCTGAGAAGAAAAATGATTTTGGTATGATTCGATATTTGGCTCAGATTCTTTGCTAACGTGAGCGGTTTACAGATCCAGTTTTCTTCCAACGCGTCTCGATAACGCCTTTGATATTTATGAGATAAAATCGACATGATTGCAGTCATGTTCAGCCTCCTGTTTGAGCTTTCTCACTGCAAAGCAAGTTGTTGAACCCCCAGTCTCCATTTTATTTACATCTGTTTCGCCATGAAAAGCAATCAGCGCTCTGCTCCTTGATTGCAGACCCAATGATAACATCCTGCAGCGTGTGATGCAGCCTTATTTTTAAATCCCGTCATGTGTGCATGTCTGAGATCAGACAGGAAGCTTATGTTGTGCGATCCAACCTGACTTCAAAATCTGATCAAACTCCTTTTACCTGAATTGGTTTTGGCCTTTTCATTGGATTTCTTGATTAAGAAAGTCCCCACACGTATCCAGAATGAGCCTTACTGGTGTCACCAGGCTGTCACAGCATGTAGAGTTCACATGAAAACATACTGCATCATGATATT